ACACACACACATATATATATATAATTTATGCTTTAACCATTGCGTTATGACTTTTTTTTTCTTTTTTTAGAGTCTCAGTATGTCACCTTCATTAGAGTGCCATGGCATCACAGCCCACAGCAAGCTCAAACTCTTGGTCTCATCGATTCTCTTGCCTAAACCTCCCAAGTAGTTGTAGTTGCACTATAGGTGCCCCCCACAAAGCCTGGCTTTTTTCCTTCTTCTTTTTTTTTTTTCCTTTTGTTTAGCTGGTCCTGGCCAGGTTCAAAACCACCAGCCCTGGTGGATTTGGCTGGCACCCTAATTACTGAGATAAGGGCACTAAGCCCATTGTGGTACAACTTTGCAATAATTATATAAATAATGTTTCAAATCATTGGAACGAAAGACAAAGGAACTTCAGTATCCATGAAGAGGAATGTGAAATACTGTCTTTCTTTTATCATTATAAGTATTAGTATAAAAAGTTAATAGCTCAGCAAACAATGATTTATTGTGTAGAGGACATGGAAAAATGCCCTTACTTTGAGGCTTTTCTTTTTCCTTAAGTTTTGGAGATTAGTGCTCAGAAGACTTTTATCCCTCCTTAAAGAAGAAACAAGTTTTCCAGTTTTGGTTTTTATTGAGTTAAATAGAGCTTTTTATAACTCTTTACTCTTGGAGTCTCTCTCATGAATTCAACTTTGAAACCTGAGTTCCAGCCTTTCTCTAATGCTTCCTTTTCTTCCATATTTATATAATTTTTATGTATAATTGGCTCAACATTTTGGCTTTCTGCTGTCATGGCTTTGTGTTCACCAAACTCTGTTGTGTAGTCTCTCTCTCCACCTTTAAAATACCTGTGATGCAGGGAAGGCAGCCACTGGTGGAACAGTCATGTGCAGAGAAGAGACATTTAAGACATCTTGGGGGAACTTGAAGGAGAACAGCATTTTTGCAACATTTTATTGTGAAAATTTTAAAACGTAAAGCTGAGATGAAAGAGTTTTTCTGTGAAGACCCCCTCATGTCCACTCTGTAGATTCTACCACTAAGTTTTTTTTTTTTGTTTTTTTTTTTTTTTAATTTCAGTAAGTTTGAGGGTTCAAGTGGTTTTTAGTTACATGGATAAATTTTGTAATAGTAAAGTTTGGGCTTTTAGTGTACCTGTCATCTCACCACCCTGGCTCATTTTTCCTTTTTAAGCTTTTAATTAATTAATTTAGTAGGCCTAGGCCAGGTTTGAACCTGTGACCCCTGCTACATGGGGCCGGCATTCTAATCACTAGCTAAGGGAGCCTTCACCGCCCCCCCCCCAGCTCTTTCTGAGGCCATAATGTCCATTTTATTTGTCTGTGTGCCCCTGTGTACTCATTACTTTGCTCTTACTTATTAAGTGAGAACATGCAGTATTTGGATTTGTGTTCCTGAGTTCTACTTTGCTTAGAATAATAATAGTCTCCACTTTTACCCAGGTTGTGGCAAAAGACAATTATTTTGTTCCCTTTTTATGGCTGAATGGTATTCCCAAGGGTATGTGTGTGTGTGTGTGTGTGTGTGTGTAAAACTTCAGTCATCTATTAACATTTTATTACATTTATTCTTGTTTATCTGGGGCTGCTTAGCTGTGAATCCAGGTATAGGGAACAGCAGAAGCAAAATTGTCTGTACTCAGCATTTGTGCATTGAAGCTTATTCCAAATAGTTTTCTAAAGAAGAAAAACCTTGCCCCTGGGTGGTGCCTGTGGCTCAGTGAGTAAGGCACCAGCCCCACATGTACCAAGGGTGGTGGGTTCAAATCCGGCCTGGCCAAACTGCAACAAAAAATAGCCGGGTGTTGTGGCAGGCGCCTGTAGTCCCAGCTACTTGGAAGGCTGAGGCAAGAGAATGGCCCAAACCCAAGAGCTGGAGGTTGCTGTGAGCTGTGACGCCACAGGGGGGAAAAAATTTGCCCCTTATCCTATGTCTTTTCCCATAATTAAGGTTCAGTAACTACCTTTTGGGTGTGACCTTGTTAAAGTCTTTTAAACAGGCATTTGTGGTCCTTTATTGCAGTTTCACATTCATGTATTTACTTGGTGTTATATTTTTTAAAATGATGTTTGTTGATATGATACAAAAACTTAGAGTGTGCAGTATCAAATCTTTACATTTTCTCCTTTTTTTAATAGATAAGGAACAACAAGAAAACTGCCATCTTAGTTAAAGAAGTGAACCCTAAAAAGAAACTTTTCTTAGTTTATCGACCAAATACTGGGAAACAGCTCAAATTAGAGATTTATGCTGATTTAAAAAAGAAATATAAGAAGGTATTTTCTCTTTTGTATGTTATATGTGTATACTTATATAATATGTTGAAACTAGGATAGTTGTTATCTATATATTAAGATAAACTTCTTACTTGGTTACTGTTTAAAGGAAAATACAAAGTTTTGTTACACTAATATCCCAATCTTTTAATGTTATCAATGATTTAAGAAACTTATAAGATGTTTAGTTTAAAAAGCTTATGTTTACTGGAAGCCTCAGTGCTAACCACAAAAAAATTGTAATTTTTTTATTAATGGGATGATGTGTGAGACTAAAATTCCTTCATACCACCTTTTAATTTTATTGTGAGCATGCCTCTTATATTTTGCAGTGATTTCTAGAAAACATTAAATAACTTATGTTTTTGCCAACACTATCATTAGTAATTTTACCCTATGTTACTATTCCTTGCTATTCTCACTTGAAAACAATTATAATTAAGTATTTATTTGAAGAATTCATTCTACATGATGGTGATAAAATTAGTGTGCAACCCAGCTGATTTATTTTGCACACAAACTTTATGGATATACTGCATAGGAAGAACCATCATAGCAGAACTTTTAGAGTGGCATTCGAATTCAGCTAGTATCAATGGCTAGGTTTTCTGCATAGAGATGATTTTAAAGTGGCTGCCTCTGGAATTATACACTAGATTAGGCAACCAGTTTATTTAAAACAGTACTGTGGCCAGGCACAGTGGCTTATATATATAATTCTAGCACTTTAGGAGGCTGAGGCGGGTGCATTACCTGTGCTCAAGAGTTTAGGACCAGTCTGAGCAAGAGCAAGACCCTGTCTGTACTAAACAGAAAAACTAACTGGGCATTGTGTCAGGCTCCTATAGTTCTAGCTACTTTGGAGGGTGTGGTTAGAGGACCACCTGAGCCAGGGATTTGAGATTGCTGTGACCTATCTTGTTGCTCAGGCACTAAAGCTGGGTAACAGAATAAGATTGTCTCAAAAAAACCAAACAGCCCTGGCTTGGTGTCCGTAGGTCACTGGTTAGGGTGCGGGTACATACACCAGGGCTGGCAGGTTTAAACCTGGCCCAGGCCTGCTAAACAACAATGACAAAAGCAACAACAAAAATAGCCAAGTGTTGTGGTGGGCACCTGTATTCCCAGCTACTTGGGAGGCTGAGGCAAGAAAAGCACTTAAGCCCAAGGGTCTGATGTTGCTGTGAGCTGTGACACCACGGTACTCTACTGAGGGTGACATAGTGAGACTCTGTCTCAAACCCAAAAAACCCAAACAACCAGGCATAGTTGCTCACACCTGTCATCCGAACACCCTGCCTGAGCGCGCAGCATGGAGACTAGCCTGAGCAAGAGAAAGACCTCATCTCTAAAAATAGCAGGGGCATTGTGGCAGGTGCCCGTAGTCCCAGCTAGTTAGGAGGCTGAGCTCAGGAAGAGGATCACTTCAGCCCAAGAGTTTGAGGTTGAGCTGTGAGCCACAGCACTGTACTGAAGCTTACAAATGAGACTCTGTCTCAAAAACAAACAATATAGCTTGGCACCTGTAGCTCAGCAGCTAGGGCACCAGCTACATACACTGGAGCTGGCGGGTTTGAACCCAGCCCAGGCCTGCCAAACAGGAATGACAACTACAACTGAAAAATAGCCGAACATTGTGGTAAGCATCTGTAGTCCCAGCTGTTTGGGAAGCTGAGGCAAGAGAATTGCTTAAGCCCAAGAGTTTGAGGTTGCTGTGAGCTGTGACACTACAGCACTCTACTGAGGGCAACATGGTCTCAAAAAAAACCTCAATAAATAAAACAATAAAATTGTAATGAAATTTTTGTCTTTATTTTTACAGGTTGTCTCAGATGATGCCTTGGTGCACTGGTTAGATCAGTATAATTCATCTGCAGATACTTGTACTCATGCTTATTGGTTAGTATTTTTATATTTCTTACCATGTTTTCTGGAATGTAATCAAAATTTAAATACATGTTCACTCTTTAACAGTATTCCAATATGTCCTTATGAATAGATGAACAGACTAGCTGATATTAGGCATGGTTCATTTCATCAGGAGTACTTATTAGACATTTGTAACCAAGACAGTATTTTAGGTGTACCCTCTTTTTATTGGTGCTTTGTTATTTCTAACCAACTATGCTTTTGCAGTATGGATTTAACTTTCATCTTTTTCAGCACTTTTTCTTCCTCCACCTCCTCCCATTCTATCCTTTCATTTCTTTCTTCCTCATGTTTTCTTCTTTATCTTTAATAAAAGCTTTACTAATAGTTCTAGGGACCTTATAAGATTTCAAGGAGATGCCTAAAGTAGCTGCACAGCATGAAAGAGAATTTGATGTTGTTGAGTCCTGAAGCTGATCCTGCTGTGCCCCAGCTCTCCCCTTCCAGTGTTCATTTCAGGACATCATATAGAATATTTTAATACTCTGTAGGTGTTAATTCTATCTTCAGTGTTTCCTCACCAATTAAGTAGTTAATATTTTTGCAGTGTCTGACTCACATTGTAAATAACATTGGATTTAAATAAATTTAGTTTGAGTTTTTTTGGGGTGGGGGGATTCACTATGCCTGTAGGTAAGTTTATCTTAATGTGAGCATTGCCTTTTGTTTTCATTTTGTCCTGTTGAAAATTAATTTACCGGCTCGGTGCCTGTGGCTCAAGTGGCTAAGGCGCCAGCCACATACACCTAAGGTGGCGGGTTCGAATCC